AATAATAATAATAATAATAATAATAATAATAATAATAATAATAATAAGGAAAGCTGTGATGAAGACTAAATGAAATGTATCTCATTTTTTTACCTGATTCCTTCCATCAGCCCAGAAATAAAAGCATTCTTATTACAGTATATGGCTAGCACTTAATATTTGAAGATAATGTCTATAATAATTCTTACTGTCTTCTTTCAGAGTATGCTTACATCAATTTCAGTACATGGGGAAACGATACATTGCCAGGTAATGTGTATAAGTCAAGTGTGTTATTTTATTGCAACAGAATGCTTTAAAATCTTGATGATTGACTAACATCTAACATTGGGAAAAATGCATATCAAGAAAGAGGTAAGTAATTAGACTTAGTTATCTGATATGTTATCTGTGGCTCTTGAATGTACAGTATTTTGGTTCCACCTTGACATTTTTTTGATTTCACAGAATTTTTTGTTAATTATTGTTGTAGCTGTAGAGATTAACGAATATTTGGCTAAGGAAAGCGGTTATACAGTGTTTGACACCTGAATTAAATTGTTCATTCTGCTTTATGTATTCTCTTGGCACTAGGAAGTTTGAAAGAATCATCATATATGCCTCCCATTCCTGACCACTCTTAAGGCTGATATTTTATGCTTTGATATCAATGTACTTAATTAATTAATTAAAATAGTAGAGCATTTTAATATTGAAAAATTAGCCTCCTCGGATTATTTGGAATAAACCTGTTACTTGTAGGCACATCAAAAGTTGCCCCAAACAATTGGATTGAACAATAGCTTCTTGAGCAAGAGTCACACCACAGTCTTCTTCAAGGGGTAATGGAAATACCCCCTTCCTTACTCAATGAAGCATGGGTTTTCTCTCTTATATCCAATCTCCTACCATCTCATTAGTTGTCATCCAACTGGGAAGTGGTGGGGCTGACAGTGACACTGAAGAGATCCCACTCCACTTTCTAAAGACTTAGTTTGGATATACTGAATACAAACATGCATTGCTTTCTTTCTTTCTTTTATGTCTTGTGCTCAAATATATTTAAAACAATCCTATCTGAATTTTTGCTGATTTTTTTTCTTTTTCTTTACACAAATGTCAATTTCTTGCAAGTGTGAGGAAGAATAACGATGCAAGAATTTAATGTTTTCTGGAGATATTATTTGAAAATAGACACTGATACTGGGTCTCTTTCAGTTATGTTTGTTTGCTTCATAAATCTGTTTTTATGAAATTGCAGAGATGCCTAATTTGCATTATGACTTCAGATTGCAGGTGTAGACCATCCAATAAATATTTAGGGTACCCATCGTTTACATTCTAATATTGTAAGCTGCTTTGAATATTGAGATGGGCAGCATATAAATTTAATAATAATTATAATAAAAATAATAAAAATTATTTTTAAATAATTTCTGGTTTCCAACACTAGAGCTTTCACCTGCAATCTCAAGTTGTAAATTCAAGATAACAGATTTGCATTCAGACTTCATATTTCCTGATTATGAAAATTGGGTCTGTAAATGTTTGTGCTGATAAAATTCGGGGTGAGAGCAGAGTGGACTCAAATCACTATAATTATTGCATTATCATATTGTATACAGGTAGTCCTCGACTTACAACAGCTCATTTCATGAGTTATGACCATTTTTCACACTACAACCTTTGTAGCATCTCCATTTTTGATCATGTGTCTAAAATTCAGATGCTTGGCAACTAGTTCATGCTTATGATGGTTGCAATGTCCTGAATTCATGTGGTCACCTTTTGCAACCTTCAGGTAAGCAGTCACTGGGGAAGCCAGATTCACTTAACAACCAAGTTACTATCTTATCAACTGCAGTGATTCATTTAACAACTGTGACAAGAAAGGTTGTAAAATGGGACAAAACTCACTTAACAAATGTCTCACTTAACAACATAAATTTTGGGCTCAATTATGGTTGTAAGTTGAAGACTATCTGTATTAAAATATAATGATAATTTCTATGAATTCAATCTATCTTTCCCTTGATTTGTTCTTGTATTGCAAAAAGAAAAAAATATTTAATTACAATAATGGCTATTGCACAGAAAACGTATCATCCAGACAGCATGTGATAATATTGAAATTAAAATTAAAAACATGCATGTTTCTGATTTTGTGGGGTTGAAAGAAATTCACCAACAAATATTAACTCTACACATTGAAATGCACCAAAGGAATGTATTAGCAAAGAAATTGCATGCAATATTTACACACCCTATAGTTAAGAGTAACAGAGAAGTGTGTAATTCTGGTATTGGTTTTCGTTTCTTGTCAGCTCTGGTGGTGGTACACACTAGGAGGTTAGTCTGTACTGATTGCTAACTCAGATCATTTTCTTATTTCCTTCATTTGATTGCTGGCAAGTTTAACAAAATATATGGCTCTACTCCCTTCCTGCCTGGTAAGATATAGGCGTTAGCATTTTTCATGTAATTCTGCATTAATTGCATGTGTGCTTATTAAAGACCTGTTGGCTTTCCTTTAACTTCTTTTCATAAATGTGTATGACCCACAATATATTTTAACTTTTACATTATTTTAACTTAAACAACCTCCTGCAATGCTTGCAAAATACTTCTTATTTGTGCTAATCAGTGCAAAACAGCTCAGGACCAACTGGTCAAACAGTTAATCTTTGTTGACTGAGTCTGGTTTTAAAGACTACCATGGCTGACTATCTGAAAACCATCCAACATTTTAAAATGTTAAATGACCACCCAACATTTCCAGTTGGGAATTAAATTGTGTAGGCCACCTTCTCTATATAGTGTGGGCCATATATAATTGCTTTGGCTGGCTAGATTTGTTCACATGGACATTAACTGAAAACACAAGAAGCTACTTTCATTCTCTAGTGGAATTTTTTTGCTTGAGCTGCTTAACTAACTCTCCCCCTCTTATGCTGCAGTGCAACATATTTAACTTTTGCTTCTGTCCAATTTCACTCATCTTGCAGGAACCAGGAGGGGTTGGGACCCATAGTTCATGATCGAAAATCTCAGACATTGCCTGTTTCCCGTAACAGAACAGGGATGATGCATGCCAGATTACAGCAGCTGAGCAGCCTGGATAACTCTCTCTCATTTAGCCACAGTAAGTTCCATGACATCATAACAGCTGAAATCTCATCTGGTACCACAACACCAGGGGCAGGTCAAAACCCACACCAGAACATGTCATGGACTTTAGTTTTCTAGGTCAAACCAAAACATGAATCTGCTCACTGGATAGCAATAACACCAAAGGCAAACACAATGTTAAACACGGTTGACATACATACCTATCAAAAATACTCTTCACAAACTTGAAAATTATGTATTTACATTCTATGATGCTCACCTTGAAAACTTTTTATTGTGTCCAATGCTGCTGGGAATTGTGTCAGTTTACAGTTTCTCCTTAGTCCTCTTAAAATGGGGAAATGTGCTTAGTTGATTATGTGACCATGTTTTGACATAGAGTTTAAGAGGAACCTTTTGCAGTAGTTTGAAAATACTGTGAAAATGTAAAGTCCATGATTTAGTTTGGATGTGAAGAAGCACACAGTAATTAAGTGACTTTTTCTGTGTTTTCAGTGTGAGAAAAATATCAAGTTTGCTTGGGATTTCTGTAGACAATGGTAAGAAAATGAGGTTACAGTCAGATTTTGTTGAAACGGTTTGAAATAATCACCTCTGAAAATATTTCAATTTTATTACTAAGAAGAGCATTCAATACACATTTTTAATAACAGAAATATCAAGTTAAGAACAGGCAGTTTGGTGAAATAACACATGCATATATATACAGACTCCCAAACTTATACAACCATATATTCCTGTCATATTCATTTTTAGGGTATACAGCACTGAGGAAGAACTGTGGAAGAAATAATAAATGAAAGAAATTACGCCCGGGGTTTAGAAAAAGAAAAGGAAACCTAATTAAAAGTGGCTTACACCAAGACCATTTGCTAGATTTTTCCATATGTATCTATCCTTGTAAACTATCCTCTCTCTAACTATGTCCGTATACTGCTTTTATTATTTGAACTTCTCATTAACAGTTCTTAAAATTTAATTTTTAAGTTTTCTAAACCTAAAAGTTTAGTTTTAGTTTTAATTTAAATTTCTGACCAAAATAAAATATCAAGTCAAGATCAGGCACCTTGCTAAAATAATGTATGTATGTATAAATACACATACCAAATTGATTGGAAACCTGGGGAAAAGGCCTTCATCCTGTAGTAGACAGACAATGGCTAAAATTAGGATGATGATGACATATAAATCATATATTTCTGTCACATTCCCTTTTAGAGTGCACAGCATTGAGCAGAATATAAAGAAAGGAAAAAATACAAAATAAAATAAATTAAAGGCCAAGGTGTAGGGGGGAAAAAAGGAAACCTAGCTAAAAATGGTTTACACAAAGACTCTTCGGTAGATTTTTTTTCATATCTATCTATTCTTATCCTTGTTTTCACTATGTCTGTGTACTGCTTTTATTCTTCAAACGTCTTGATGAAATTGCTTTGAGGATTTCTGTCAAAATCCATCGTTCTCATTTCTCTTCTTCCTCTCAACCCATTCATACATTTCTTTTGCAATTTGATCATTCTTTCTACATGACCAGATCTTATGAATATATTCTTGGTGGTGGTCCACATTATTTCTGAGTGGAATGATATTCCATAGAACAGACACTATAACAAATAAAACACATTTTCTGGATCCTGTTAGATCAGATTTCCCCAACCATCTTTGCGTACTGGCAGAGGGGAGCGGATGGCTCTGTGCAAGTGCCAGTCAAGCATGTGCAGCTCCATTTAGGGGCTCATGCCCCACCACTTCTGCAGCCCAATACCCAATATTGGGCCATGGTTCAGGGGTTGGAGATCCCTGCGTTAGATGACTCCCCTTTAATCAGGGGAGTTGGAGCATGCCTACTCTGTCAGTTCTGGGAGGATTAGCAGAAACAATTGGAGGCAGGTGATCCCTCAAATAACTCAATACTATGCCATCCAGGTCTTTATAGGTGACACATAGCACTTGAATTGCAGCCAGAACATAACTGGGACCCAGTTCAGCTCATAGAACATCCCAAACTGACCTCATCACTGCATTCTGGTCCACTTGGGCACAATTGACACACAAGATGGATCAGGGCAAAGACCTTCCTAGCCACAGCTGCCACCTGCTCCTCACAGGAGTCATGCATCTAATAGGATCCCTAAATTGCACAGAGAGTCAGTGGGAATGTTACTACCACATAAAAAAAAGATTATGAAAATTATGGATTTACATTCTATGATGTTCATCTTGAAAACTTTTTATTGTGTCCAATGCTGCTGGGAATTGTGTCAGTTTACAGTTTCTCCTGGGTCCTCTTAAAATGGGGAAATGTGCTTAGTTGATTATGTGACCATGTCTTGACATAGAGTTTAAGAGGAACCTTTTGCAGTAGTTTGAAAATACTGTGAAAAGGTAAAGTCCATGATTTAGTCTGGATGTGAAGAAACACACAGCTCTCTTCCCATCTTTCCTTCTTTTTCTTTTTCTTTCCCTTTCTCCTTTCCTGTCCCTTCTTACATGCTCAAATGCACAAGGGGAAATATTTCTCCTTTTGTTTTGTTTTTAGTTTGTTTTGTTAGCTCTCTGCCAGCAAAAATAGAGTGTGGGGGGGCGCATGGCTCTTCTGAGCTCCGTCTTTGCTGGCAGGGGCACCGCAGGTTGGTCCTTTGCTGTTTCCAGAGCAGCCCCAAGGCCAGATCTAAGCACCCCGTGGTCCGCATTTGGCCCACGGGCCTTGAGTTTGACACTCCTGGACTAGGATAACTCACTGTGGGACAATTCAAAGCTATATTAATTGTTCAGTTATTTTTATTATCGGTGATCACATTTTCATTGAAATTAATGGAATTCTTGTATTTCTGGCTTGAAATAATTTTATTATTAATGGTCATGGTTCCACTGAAATTAATTTAGCTTTTCTATTTTTTGAATTGTCCCATGGCATGTTACTCTATTCTGGTGAGAGAGACTTCCATCTTTCTTCTGGCTTCCTCACTGATTTTGTTTGTGTGAAGCTGCAAGGATATGTTGGAAATCACAATCAGGTGACTGTAGCAGCCACCACAAATTTGCTAATGTAATTATTCTGAAGATTGTTAAAATTTCAGTTTTACAGGAGTAATGGATTCTGGCTTTTGGATGTGTTCGTTTAGTACAATTTGAGGTTCATTGCTTCAAAAGTATTGCCTAATAATGCACAGTTTCAATTAATTAAAGGTTACAGACTGAGAGGAGACTTTTAGTAGTATACAGATTTTAGCAAGATACACAATTCATCTGGTTTTGTGCCATGATATGTGACTTTCTATCTTATTTACCTCATTTTCTTTGTCAAACACAGCAGCCTTTTTCTTTGATACATTAATTTTCGGATTATTCTTGTTGTATCTTACAATCTGCTAACTTTCACTTCAAGGTTGTTCTGGTTCACAGCCAATACAATACAAACATATACATTCACATCCTACTATGGTTATAGGCATCCTTAAACACTAAGCCATAGATATAAGCCACATTGTTAATTGTTTGGTAAGCATTTCTCATATGCATAATTACTGTTGTATACTGCTCTGATCATATTCAGCAATCAATTTTCAACAGTTTTTGAACAAAATATTCTATATTCTATGAAACCTTATCCCTTTATCATGCTCTTTAATGACATTACGAATTAATATTACAATAAACATTAATTTACATATGTCTCAATGACTTAATGATCCACTTTGATATTATTATACAAAGTTGTGTCCCACATTCAAAACTTTTCATCACCCCATATACTTCAATGATGTTTTCAGTCTTTCATAATAATAAATTATACACTTAGGTTTATATGTTACATTGTCATCCGTTTTGTTTTCATTTCGTAAAATATAACTCATCTGTATTTTTGTTAACGTATTAATTTTTTAACATATTTATTTTTTAATCTCCAAAGATAAAATGAAAAATACAAAAAAACCAAAACCCAACAAGCTTCTGACAACAAGAGTAAATACCACATGTACAAAAAACAAAGAAAGCCCCAAAATATCAAAAACATCTAACATTAAACATTAAAAAAGTCCACCTTTGTGGAATTCTGAAAGATGTATTAAAAAAATCTTATTTCCTCCTTCCCTTATATAACAGGTCTTTAACAAAAATGCTATAATACATAAATATCCCTGAGGTGGAAATTTATTTATCTAGTAATCGAATCAACCCTTTTCTGATATATATATATAGATAGATATAGATATATATATAGCAGTTAATTAAATTAATTAAATTAATTAACTTAATTAAAGTTAATTAAATTAATTTAGTTAAGCAGTTAATTTAATTAAGCAGTTAATTTTGCCATCTCTGCTAAATCAGTCAATTCTAAAATCCACTCTTCAACAGTCAGCGTCCCATTTTCCTTCCAATGCTTAACATAAACAATCCTTTCAGTGGTCGCCATGTTAAGAAATAGCATCCTATACTGTTTTTTTTATTGGTTTGTCCATAATACATTTAAAAAGGCTTCAGGTTTCATTAATATTTGTATTTGAAATTAATGTATTATTTCATTTCACAGTTTATGTTCTTTACTGTTTCCTTTTTTAACAATCCAAGCTGCAATTTTTCATATAGTATGGATATCATCAAACCATAGTTTCCAATTAATGAAAGTTTTACACAAAATGCTTGTAATAATATCAAGTAGGAATAAACTTCACTTTTTAATTCCAAATCCTCTACTGCTCTTTCTCTGTTCCTAAAAGGGGAAAATGCAGACAGAAGCAATCCCATATTTTTGTTTCCTGATGGATCCTATGGAAGCAACTCTGACTAGTCCAGAATCCAGAACCTCATTGTGTCGGATTCTCTTTAAAAATGCCAAATGTAACCACTTGGCTCATAAAATGGCTTACTTTTTATGTTTGCCAGCTTGAAGAATTGCATTTTCTCTTGATTTATTCTTATTTTATTTTATTTTATTTTATTTTATTTTATTTTATTTTATTTT